TATTACTTATTATTACACCTAAACAAGACTATATACAGTCCACCCAGGTGTTATTACAGCTGTTATTACTTATTACACTAAAACAAGACAATATACAGTCCACCCAGGTGTTATTACAGCTGTTATTACTTATTACACTAAAACAAGACAATATACAGTCCACCCAGGTGTTATTACAGCTGTTATTACTTATTACACTAAAACAAGACAATATACAGTCCACCCAGGTGTTATTACAGCTGTTATTACTTATTATTACACCAAAACAAAGCGTTATAGTCCACCCAGATGTTATTACAGCTGTTATTACTCATTATTACACCAAAACAAAGCATAATAGTCCACCCAGAAACACTTCCTTACAAACCTTATTTAGATCCTAAAAGAAGTGCAGCTAAGAGAAGCAGAGCAGCAGCTAAAAGGTTCAGAACAGCAGCCGAAAAGCTTGTAGTGGAGAAGTTCTCCTTCAGGTGTCACATGATGCTGTAGACCGGTGGTCCTGGTCCTGGTCCTGGTCCTGGTGATGTCCTCTATGAATGAGCTGTGGTTTCTCTCTTGTAAACAGGAAGTTGGGGTGTTTTAGCTCATCTGTCCTTCAGGAATCTGTACAGGAAGCTGAACTTCAGCCCCTCCTGTCAGTTCTCACACAGCTGCTGTCAGTCTGAGGTTTAGTTTTTAGTCTGTGTTTCTCTCTGTGTCGTGGTMTAACCTTCCTCCTCCTCCTCAGGAGCCACCCAGATGCTGCTGCTGGCGCGGCGGACAGACCTGCGGCGGATCTCTCTGGACACGCCGGACTTCACGGACCTCATCCTGCAGGTGGAGGACATCCGTCACGCCATCGCCATAGACTACGACCCGGTGGAGGGCTACGTGTACTGGACTGACGACGACGTGAAGGCCATCCGCCGCGCCCTGCTGGACGGAAGCCACGCCCAGTTTGTAGTCACGTCCCAGGTCAGCCACCCCGAYGGCATCGCTGTGGACTGGATCGCCCGGAACCTCTACTGGACCGACACTGGCACGGACCGCATCGAGGTGACCCGCCTGAACGGCACCATGAGGAAGATCCTGATCTCTGAGGACCTGGACGAGCCCAGGGCCATCGTTCTGGACCCCACGGCCGGGTGAGTCTAGTTCCTGCAGCCGAACCCTGCAGACACCCCGTCCCGAGGACATGACCAGGAAGGTTCTGTTCTGGCCCGCAGGTACATGTACTGGACCGACTGGGGCGAGGTGCCGAAGATCGAGCGGGCCAACATGGACGGGACGGAGCGGCTGGTGATGGTGAACACGTCTCTGGGCTGGCCCAACGGGCTGGCCCTCGACTACAACGAACAGAAGATCTACTGGGGAGACGCCAAGACGGACCGGATCGAGGTACCGTCACTGGTTTGGGTCGGAACATCTGATCCCCAACAGAACACTGAAGCTTCTGCTGGTTCTGTGGAAACAGTTCTGCTGGGTCCACCGGGTCAACAGATTCTAAAGACGTCTGTTTTTTTACTTTAGCTTCACCTGGTGAAACGGGTCTGATTTACGTTCTGGTTCTGGTTCTGATATGTGGAAAAAATGTTAGTTTTTCCTGATGTTGTAATTTAAAACATCTGATTGGATCAGAACTTCTGGGTCTGATCAGAACTGCAGTGAGAGAAGCTGAAAAAAGATTTCTGGACCGTTATGGATCAGTTGGTTCTGCTCCGTCCTCCAGGTTCTGTACGCTGCAGACGGTTCTGACTCCTCAGGCCTCTTGTTGGGTTTTCCTCTTCTTCCTCTCGGGGGTCTCAGGGCCCCTCCTGAGCCCCTCTCCTGGTCTTCAGGATCCTTAGAGGACCCGGGTTTTGCTGCCAGAGCCCATCTGGTTCTGATTGTGGTTCTGGCTCCAGTTGTGGTCGGCTGTGTTTAGAACCGGGCCAGAATTTGAAACCATCGGGTGGTCCAAGACCAGCAGAGACCTGCAGGCAGAGGCTGAAGACAGAAACTCTTCTTATTTAGACTCAGCCTTCCTCAGGGACCAGACCAGGTTCTGATTCTTTGAGCTGATTCATGGTTCTGAATCTTTGTTTTGAGTCGTGGTTCTGACTCATGGTTCTGATCCATGTGTGTCTGCAGGTGATGAACATGGATGGGTCGGCCCGACGGGTCCTGGTGAAGGACAGGATTCCTCACATCTTCGGCTTCACCCTGCTGGACGACTTCATCTACTGGACGGACTGGCAGAGCCGCAGCATCGAGAGAGTCCACAAACACACCGCCGAGAGGGAGACCATCATAGACCAGCTGCCAGACCTCATGGGCCTCAAGGCCACCAAAGTCCACCAAGCTTTCGGTGAGTCCAGGAACTACTGTAGTTAGGACTATAGTAGTAAGACTAAGTATAGACCTGACTCCAGAGTATAGACCTGACTCCAGAGTATAGACCTGACTCCAGGGTAGAGACCTGACTCCAGGGTATAGACCTGACTCCAGGGTTTAGACCTGACTCCAGAGTATAGACCTGACTCCAGAGTATAGACCTGACTCCAGGGTAGAGACCTGACTCCAGGGTATAGACCTGACTCCAGAGTATAGACCTGACTCCAAGGTATAGACCTGACTCCAGGGTTTAGACCTGACTCCAGAGTTTAGACCTGACTCCAGGGTATAGACCTGACTCCAGACCTGACTCCAGGGTATAGACCTGACTCCAAGGTATAGACCTGACTCCAGGGTTTAGACCTGACTCCAGAGTTTAGACCTGACTCCAGGGTATAGACCTGACTCCAGACCTGACTCCAGGGTATAGACCTGACTCCAAGGTATAGACCTGACTCCAGGGTTTAGACCTGACTCCAGAGTTTAGACCTGACTCCAGGGTATAGACCTGACTCCAGACCTGACTCCAGGGTATAGACCTGACTCCAAGGTATAGACCTGACTCCAGGGTTTAGACCTGACTCCAGAGTTTAGACCTGACTCCAGGGTATAGACCTGACTCCAGACCTGACTCCAGGGTATAGACCTGACTCCAAGGTATAGACCTGACTCCAGGGTTTAGACCTGACTCCAGAGTTTAGACCTGACTCCAGGGTATAGACCTGACTCCAGACCTGACTCCAGGGTATAGACCTGACTCCAGACCTGACTCCAGAGTGTAGACCTGACTCCAGACCTGACTCCAGAGTGTAGACCTGACTCCATGGTATAGACCTGACTCCAGACCTGACTCCAGAGTATAGACCTGACTCCAGACCTGACTCCAGAGTGTAGACCTGACTCCAGACCTGACTCCAGAGTGTAGACCTGACTCCATGGTATAGACCTGACTC